CCCCCCATTATGTTACATTAGTACATACACTAAACCAATGAGTCCTTAATCACTAAAAAAAAAAGCCGAATAAATGTTCCCAACAGCATCCGAAAAATCTTGATTATGTTTTAGTCCCATTTCACGTTCAAATTATTTGGTTTTTTTTCACAATTAATTATCAATTTCCTCCAGCTACTTCAGTCGTGAAGTGATTCCAACCAATCACTCCCGACTGAATCAATTAATGATAAAAAAAATTTTTCATTGAGTGATACATACGTATTACAGTATGTATATTTCGTAATAAGACAAGTGGCATTTATTCATTGCAAACTATACAAATTTATCATCAATCTATGATATAAAAAATGCGTTATTTAAATAACATTATATTAATAATTTTTTGTATCTTGTGTTTTTTTTTTATTATTCGTTAAGACTTACTTATGACCTAGGACACTAATTCTCATTAATTGCTGATTAATCAGTGGGAACAGTGACGGTTTTTTGTCCTCGATGATAGCGATTTATCAATGATAAATCATTGAGCCATCAGTTCTATGATTTATCTCATTAAAATATTATCGTTATTATCGTCCTCTGATAATTAGAATCGGGAATTTTTTTCTTTTAAATAGTACACCCGATGTAAGCGAATACATGACAATTCTTTTCAATTATTGAATAATAATTTACACTGAGATGAGTTAGGTGAATTCAATGAGTGGAGGATATTTTTCTGGAAAGAATTGTGTGATTGTTCTTTTGATTGAAAGCTCGAGGTTATAATGAGATGGTCTTTGTGATAGTGGAGCCTGATTTTGTCCTTGAAACCTGATTTAAGACACTCATTTTTAGATCCACAAACTTTCAAAGAGGAAAGGAAAAAATTTAAAATTAATCCAGCTTGTTCAAGCAATCTAACGACAGGACCTGATTTAAGAGCTTGGATACCTGAGTTTGGAGAGTTTCATTCTGATCTCAATCAGCAAAATGTGATTCTGTATAGTTGAGTGGACTTTTTGTGACACCCTGCTTGGATTAAGACCCCCCCAACCTGATTTTAAGCCTCAAAACCTGATTTTAACCTTATCATCGGCGAAGGAGTCAAACATTCTATTCAGACATACCATCGCCAGAGAATTGTATAAAAACTTTCTTGTTTTAACAATCCACTAACACAGCCTAATTTCAGGCGATTAATACCTGATTTAAGCCACCCAACTTGATTTTAATCTTCAACAGTCGATGTAAATTGAGACCAATTCGATTGGATTAAGACCCCTTGATCCTGATTTCAAGCCTCGAAATCTACGTTTTAGGCTTAAAACCTGAATTTAAATATTCTAATCAGGTATTCCAACGTCATAAAATCAAATGAAAAAACATCTCAATCACTCCAACGGCGCTTGAATTAAGCCGCCCAACCTGATTTTAATCCTGGAAACCTAATTCAAGCTACTTGACCTCAACTTCAATCCCTCCTTACGTCCACCCGCAGCCCCTCCCCCCAAAGCCCTCTCCCCCCCTCAATCCATCCACTCATTGAATCCCCCACCCCTCTAAAACCTTTTAAAAACCTCCATAAAACCTAAAAAACATCCCCCTCTCAAAATATAATAATTACCCTCACAGGATAATCCTCTACCCCCCAAAGATAAAAAAAAAACTTTCAAAACCCAACAAAGAACTGAATTTTGGTATCACTATGTACACTATGATACACCCTCACCCTTTAAGACTCAGGTTTACTCCTCTGCTCCTGCGCCTTAATCTCCTTACTCAACTCCTCACACTTGCTCTCCTTGAGAATGACCTCCTCCTTCTCCTTCTCCTTCACCTCACTAACTTTACTCTCCTTGACCCTAACCTCCTTATCACCCTCCTCACCCTTGTCGCCTGTTGCTGACGAGCCCGATGCCTCCGGATTATTAACCCCATTGAGCTTATTTTCAGGTCCACCTGAAGAATTCACCGAGCCCGCCTCCTTACTCACCCTCTCCTCCTCCTTTCCATCCTTCTCCTTAACGTCCTCCCTTGATTTCGAGGACGACTGCTCCTCCTCCCCCTTCAGGTCCCTCTTCAACTCCTTTCTCAGGTCTTTTTTCATGTCCCCCTCACCCTTCTCCTCATCCCCCTTCTCGCCACTCTTTCTCCTCTCCCTCTCCTTTCCCACTACCTTCTCCTCATTATGCTTCGATAGATCACTCACTCCAGCCGTACCCGAAGTCCCTCCCGCACCTGATTTACTCAGATTAAAAGCATTTCCCTCCCCTCCCTTTCCCTCCTCATCCTTACCGATATGCCCTCCCGAAATTTTCGGACTCTTTGGACTCGAGTGAGAGCTCGGCGGAATTCTCTGTACCGCAGGTGCCTGAAGCCCCTGATAACTCAGTGCCGAGTAGCTCCTAGGTATGCACCTGTTGATCGAAGCTGGTAAATTGTGATAAGCCGAGCTGATGCCCATGGGTGACCTCATCAGTGGCCCCCCAAATCTACTCCCATCGCTGAATGGTGGCAGAAATCCCTGGGGAAAAATCCTGGGATTCGTATTCGGTGTTGCATTCGGTATAAACGGATTCGTCAACATGTTGACCGGTGAGTTCCTGGGGGACAAAGAGCCGGAAGTCCTCCCAATCTCCCTCGTAAAGGGGGCGTTGTAGTTCCTGGCGTTTGGAGAATAAGGAGGTGGCGAGACTATCGGTGAATTTGTGGTGGATATGGGTGACAGGGTTTTTGGCTCAATTTTTGTTATGAGACTCGGTGATTTTGATGTTGACTCTTTCTCCTTGGGGTCATTGTTAACACCGTAGAGGGGTTTAACCCCGGAGGCTGGATTACCCAGGTACCTGGGGAGATTGTTTCTGTGCTTGAATATTGATCTTGATTTAGAGGGTACTGATTTGCCGGAGGGACTCGAGGGATTCGACTGCTCAGAGGCAAGCTCTTTGGCCTGATTCTTGGCAGCAACGTAGTTATTTCTACTGAGGGAGGGGTTCCAGGGTCTCGGTGGGTCACGAAGAGTCTTAAATCCAGTTGATTGTTTTTTCGTGGGATTCGACACCTTCGGCGACGAGTGGAGAAGAAGAGGTGATGATGGTGATAGATTTGGAATAGACTTCGATGATGATCCTTTGGAGTCAGATGGAGATATTGTCAAGGAGTTGCTGGGAGTGTAGCTGGGGACATTGGGGATTGCTCCGTGTTTAGAGACCTCTGAGGATGACTTGATGGGAATTTTCAGTAGATCTGGGATCTCTGATCTCGCTCTTGTCTCGGTTTTGTTCTTGTCCTTCTCGCGGGAGTTTTCGCTTATCTTAGCGCAGATCTCGTTGACATTCGTCCCCTTCGCCAGGATCTCGGTTTTTCTGATTGTTGGTTTTGACGAGTGCATCAGGGATATGGGAATTGCGTCGGGGCATGGGGGGACTGAGGAGTAGACAGAGGTGATCTCGAGACCCTTTGAGTTCGCTCGAGACGATGAGGTCGTTGGGGTAGACGTGTTTTGGTGCTTTGCTGATGAGGTAGGGATGGAGTACATGCTGATTGAGGGGGTTTGGAGGCTGTAGGGCTGGGTGACTGGACACTTTGGAGAGGATGACGATGACTTGGAGGGGCTCTTCAAGTTCCCATCAACAAAGTTCTGCATGTAAAAGGGAAACGTCGACTGGGGGATCACAGGGACATTGAGGGGCTCTGAGTTCTGATTATTTGACTTCTGATTGTCGTCTTTAGTTCGCTCTGGGGAGGAGTTCCTTCGAGAGGTTAAGGAGATCGATAAGGAGGGAGCTGTCGAGTAGGTGCAGCCACCGAAGGTGCTCATGCTGACGTGCGTCGATGTCGTCGATGCCTTCGACGATGGAGACGACGACGACGATGACGATGATGATGAGGATTTTGGGGTGGCAGGCGGTGGTGCCTGCGACTTCTTCTGCTCCTTATCACTCTTCACTTCCTTCTTCAGCACCTTCTCCAGCACCGACTTCTTCTCCTTCTGCGATTTCTTCGAGTACGTGTGATTGATGGGCCCAACTTTGGGTTGAAATTGTAGTTTAGCACTTAGGGATTCGATTTTCGAGCCACTTGTCTGTGAATTTGATCCTGCATTCGTGGGCTTTTGATCGGCTTTCGGTTTTGATGGGATCTCTGGGGGTTTCGATGCTGACGATGATTCTGGGACTGATGACGATGGGGTCTTCTCCTTGTTGTTGTTGTCCTCTTCTTTATCAGATGATTTCTTTTGTTTGTCTGGTTTATCTTGCTTATCTGGTTTATCCTGTTTATCTGGTTTATCTGGCTCTTTAGGATCTTCTGTTTTTCTCTTGGGTTTAACGACACTGGCTACTGACTCGTCAAGTCTTCGTTGGTCCTCTTCGATTGTCTCTTTCTTCTGAGGTTTCTTCGAGTCTGGGGATGTTATGACAGACATAACACCGGTCTCTGATATCTTCAGTTGGACTTCTTTCCATTCTCGTTTAACTGGGGACTCCTCGGGGGGATTTGAGGGGGTGATACCAGCGGTGGACAGTGACGCTTTGAAGTGGTCGTTGTCCTCTGAGAGCTTGAGCCTCTTCGGGGAGGACTCGAAGATCCTGTAGCTCAGGTGGAGGGGCACCTTCCTTCGCCAGTGGTAGATGTACATGACGTCCATCAGGGTGTAGTTGCCGTAGAGGGGCTCCTCCTTGTACATTATGTCGACTCGGTGGACATCGCTGAGACCATATTTGGCGCGGATTAATTTCTGCAGGTGAAATACAGTGACTGCTGCTGGACAACGGAGGTAACGACGGGGCTGGGACTTGGAGGAGGACGAGGAGGACTTCTCCTCGTCGGTCTCGGAGGGAATGGGACTGTCGTTCAGGGAGGGGTTGTAGTACTCGAGGGAGAGGGAGAGGGACTCGTCGGGGGAGTAGATGTGCGACTCGATTGGCTCGCCTCGAGCCTCCGGGGACATTGACGCGATTGGGGCCTCTGGGTGCTTCTCGTAAAACTCACGACGACAACGCATCTCATCTGGAAGAAGAGGAGACATTTTTTGAGGGGCTGTTCATTTTTTGGGAATGGTTTTTTTTAATTTGGCTGTGTTTGAGAAAAATTTTGCGGGGCTAAATGAAACATGGGAGAAAATGAAACAGTTGAAAACCGATTATGTGACGCAATTCAAGCAAAGAATATTTTTTTTCTCAACTTTTTATTATTATTGGGAGTACTGATGAGAATCATTATTTTCTATTCGTCTTATAATTCGATTGATTATAATTCATTTGATTGAAGTAGGCCGATTACACTTTTCTTTTTTCATTCGATTAAAATTCAGCATCACGTTTTCCTTTTTCCCCCTCTGGGTCTCCTTCCGAACTTTGGATTTTGCTGTTTCATTTTCTCTTTAATTAATCCATTCAAAAAATCTCCAGTCAAAACTTCTCAATAATTTCCCATTCTACTGAATAGAAAATTATTATTCTCATCAATACTCCTAAGAATAAAAAAAAATTGATGGAAAAAATTTTGGGAAAAAATTTTTTTTGCTTGAATTACGTCAAACAGTCGGTTTTCGACTGTTGCATTTAGCCCCACCCTCCCCTAATTTTTTAAGGGTGGAGGGGAATACATGAGAATAATTCTTCTGGTGATTGAGAGATATTTGTTGCATCAACTTTAAAAAAATGAAATGAAGAATTTTTTTGTATACGAGGGTCTCATGGGATTTATTTTTAAAATGATGATTCTTATGGGATTTATTTTCCTTGTCTCATCATTTTCAAATGATGAATTATCTACTTGAGGAATAGAAAAATGAAAATACAAAAAACAATGACAACGAAATATCAGTGTAACAGTTGTGAAAGAATAAAAAATTTATTGAGTGTTTGTATTTTTTGAAAATTGATTTTTTTTCGTTTGAGAAAATCTGTTCCAACAGCTTTACTAAAATAAAATTAACAATTCGTCTTTATACTAGGTTCTTATGACATTTATTTTCAAATTGATAATTTATCTAAAGGAGTCGACGAATCAAAAAATAGAGGGCGATGTGGGAGAATTTCTATTCTCAATTTAGGAAATATAGAAAATGAACTGGAGCTCAGATAGTTCAATTTAGAATAGTTGTAGTGGAGATTGATTTGTCGCTGTCAAAGTAAAATAGAATTAAAAATGTAGGAAGGTGTGTATGATATAATGTACACACGTAGCCCCAGAGGAGTTATTAATAAAAACAAACAAATATTCTGAGTAAAAATATTTTTCACTCAGAAAAGGAAAGAAATATGAATTAAAAAAATATATAAATATTTTTTACTCACTTTGATAGCATCCAGGTACTAGCTTGTATACGATATCCTGGAGTGTGTGATCAGGACGAATATTCAATAGGGGTTTACTCTTGTGGACTTGCACTTCACATATTGGACAGTACTTATTCGTCTCCAAGTACTTGACGATGCAACTTCTGCAGACTGAGCCGAAGAAAAAATCATTATTCATCGTGATTTAAAATTGAAAAAAGCAGATGGGAATTGAGGAATTCACACGAAACCAACACTTCAACAAATAAATTTGCGAATTTAACGGAAACCAAAACTAAAATATCATTTGTCCTTTTAGATATCTAGGATAGAAACAAATCTTCAAATATTCTGGATGTAGGGAAAATTGAAAATTCCACCCAAAAAACAATGATCCAATAAATTGAACTCCCATGAAAGGAAAAAAATCAACTTGAATAATAAATAAAAATTGAATCTCTAGATAAAGAAAAGATCTTCGACAATTCTAAAAATAGAAACCAAAAACAACCACAATAATCAACTTACACGAGTGTAGACACTCAATAATTGTGGTAGCATCGATGAAATACCCCTGGCACAATTTGCAAGTCAATTGTTCATTCAACTTAGCCAATTTGAGTCTCCCTCCACTCTGGCCGGACATTCTGCAAGTAAAAACCACCCGATGAGTCCCAAAACCCCATCAAAAATCCATAAACCCAAGAATTAACCTTAACCCCATCCCTCAAGCTCCCTTTATAACCCCCAAACACCTTCCCACCCTGAAATCCACTCCGAACCCCAAAAAAACTCCTAAACCCCGAGAATAACCCCAAAAATCCGCGAGATTCCCCCATAAAAAATACTGGATGACTGAAATGTTGGTAAATCAGCCATATTGACACCTAGAAAATTAAATTTCACCCACTGGCTCATCCAGCACCAACGCCGAACCCCGAGGGGAAAAAAAAATTCTGTCAACGATAAAAAAACCGAAGGTTCGAGGAAAATCTCCGAAAGTCAGGGATTACTCACTTGAATTATTTTTCACGAGTTTCTTTGATGAGTTTTTCACACTTTGGAAATTGTCATTCGTTCCAAAAAGTCAGTAAAGTTGGGTAGAAACTCGGGGAAACTCGTCGGGGCTTGTCATCACGCAGTGGAGACACTGATTATTACACTATTTTCAAGTTTTACATCGGTTTTCGCATGTCTGTCACTTTGTTTCGGGGGTCTCGAGGGCTTTTCAACGCACTGGTGGCTGTTTTTGGGGGTCTTTTCGAGGGTTATCACAGGTACATGATAAATTGGATCACCGTACACTGGAAATTGCGTGTGGAGCAGTGAAACAAAATGGCGGATAAACAATCGAGTAACTGACCTTTCTGAAAACATTTCGGAGCAGCGCTGGGGTATCAGGGGGAGGACCGGCGGTTGGTAAGGCAGGGGGTGAGAGTTTTGGCGGGATTGAGGAGTGCCAGCAGGGTTGGGCGTGTAAATTACCTCGACGAGTTTTTTACATTTTTTACATTAGGGGCGGGTGGGGTAAAATGGACACTTTAGACTTTTTTAAAATTATTCATAACTCAGAAACAAATTGATCAATTGAGCTCAGTTTAGGCTCGTCACAAAGAGAACGAATTATTTTTTGTATTGGAAAAAAAAGTTATTAAATTTTATCAACATTTCAACCCCTTATTAACATTTTTAAGAAAGTCAAAAGTGTCCGTTTTACCCCAACTTCCCCTACTTCGAAAAGCTTGCAATTTTCAGTTACTAGAATGTTTTATTTTACTGCGACTGACGAAGACGCGGTATTGGACACATAAATATCATAAAAAATAGTATATTATGTCCCGAGGACAGATAAACCGCGAATTTTAACTTTACGTTGTTCGGTTAGAATTCCGATTCAGTACTTGGGGCATAAATAGTATATCTCGTTACGCTTAGAGCACAAGCCAAAGGCGAGTGATATGATCCCACGAGCCAAAAAACACTTTTTCATCACGTTGTGACGAAAAGTGAATTTTTCGGGCAAAGACTGAAACATCATGAACGCTGATTCATTTTTTATCACCCAGTCGGAAATAATCGGACTGTTTTACCAGGGTATGAACCTCGTGACTTTTATCACCCTCCCGAGTTATAATCTTCGCGAAGCTTCACCGTTTACGATAAAAGATAACGTCGGCTGTTTTTTTACATGTTTTAAATTTCTCACGTAAATTACGGGTATTTACAATGTCATGTAAAAACCTGCGGTTATCGACAGATGCCCAGCCCTGCTTATTCCTAATACCTCCTCAAAGAAATTATCCTTACCAGCCTCACAGCCCACATAACCTCCAAAATGTACTTGACAGATAACCGGATCTAAACCACCCCTCGAAAAGCCATAAAAACCCCAGTGGTCACCATGGCAGACGCCACCTGGTAAGTCCCCTCGAACCTGTTTCAAAAATCCAGCTAACCCTCTCTCCCCCAGGATCTCCAGCTCCCAGGGCTGCGCCCCACGCCGGCTCCCCCTGGAGGAAGTCTCGGAGCACCCCCTGAAGCCCTCCACCATCGTCGCCATCGAGTCAGGCCGCCTGGGTCTCCGCCGAGGCACCCTCCGTAGCACGAGCACCGCCTCTTCCACAGGAACCCCAACCCCAACCCACACCCCCTCGTCCCTCATCGACCCCCTCTCCAACCCCTCCACCCTCGACGGCTCGGACCCCCTCACCCAGTTCTCCAAGGAAGAACTCGACCCCCTGTCCAAGATGGCGGCGGACGAGTGGGACTACTCCCCGAACCTAGTTCCCCCAGGGAAGAAGCCCCGAGAAGCCCCCGAGGATCACCTCCAGGAGCCCTGGTCCACCTGGCGCTCCTCCATCCTCACCAAGTACACCACCTCCGAGAAACTCTCCATCGTCACGTCCTTCCTCTCCGGTGGCGAGAAAATAGTCAAAGTCCAGGCCAACACGCAGCTGGACAAAGTGAAGACCCGTCTGGAGCAGCTGGACGACTTCGAGGAAGGGTCGGTCCGCCAGATGCTCGACCTCTCCCAGCAGGAGTACGCCCTGAGAACAGAGCAACTTAACACCGAACTGGTGCAGGCATGGCACTCGGACCAACGGGTGAAGGCCCTGAAAATAGCTATTCAGTGTGCTAAACTCCTGGTGGACACCTCCGCCATGGCTTTCTACCCCAGCAAATTCGTCCTCATCACTGACATCCTCGACATCTTCGGGAAGCTCGTCTACGAGAGGCTCAAGGTCAAGGCGGATTATTACAAGCCCGGGAGTAAGGTTCCCACCAGCCTCCCCGATAACTTCACCCCGGACATGGTGCCGGAGAACGCCAAGGAGACCTGCAGGTAAGGACATCCCATTTCACATCTATTATTCTCAATATCAGTTCTTTATAGTCCGGTGATGGACTTTTTTTGGATCCATGTAGAGAAGAAATCGAGATTTTACTCCCCATATCGATGTTTAATCAAATTAATTTTTTGTAAGTTATTTTTTCTATCAATTTTTATGAAACTTTGTACATACATCCGCCTAGGAGAACAATATTTTTCTGTCGGTGTTTGCAATATCGATATTTCTGGACGTGATAGACCGATATATCGAATCCGTGAACGATTTTCTGAGATTTAATATATCGATATATTTTTAAATATCGAATATTCCTGCCTGCAGATATGGATGTTCAATATGAGATTATTTCGAATATCGATGGTTCATGGAAGAAATCGATAATTCATTCCCAAAATCGATATTTAATCAAATTAGAATTTTCAACATTCATTCTTTCCATCCACTTTTATAAAATTTCTACTTCCTCCTAAGAGAACAATATTTTTCTATCGATGTTCGCAATATTGATATCTCTGAGCATGACATACTCAACGGTTCCGTAAGCAACAATTTTTATCGATTTAATGTATCGATATATTTTCAACATCTAACATTTCCACCTGTAGTATGTTCGATATGACCTCGATCGTTCCGAATATCGATATTTCACAACCCAATGTGGCATCACGGCAAAATATCAGTCTCAAAATATCACACCGCAAAATATCATATGAAAAAATATCACATGGATAAATATCATAATATGAAAATATTATTTGTGATAAATATCATTTTTTAAAATATCATATCATATCATATCATGTAATTTTTAAATTTTCAATAATATTAAGTAATTTTTTTAATTTTCAATATATTCAATGATATTTCAATGGTTTTTCTTGATTTTTCGTCGCGTGTGTGAGCACCGCCGTGTAATTCTTTCTTTTTCCGATAATTCATTACCACAATACGGCTATTTAATTCCATTTTCGGTATGTAAACACTGCTGGGTTTTTCACTCTCCTTATAAATCAATATATTGATTTTCTGTTTGGGTTTAGGAGAAATTGTTTGATTTGTTTTCAATTCATGTGCACTCGTAATTTTTTTTTTTAATTTGTTTATGACCATTTTGGTTTGTGATATTTTTTGTGTGTGATATTTTGATTTGTGATATTTTTTACCGGTGATATTTTGTTTCGTGATATTTTGAGGCATGATTTTTTGCCGGTGATATTTTGATATGTGATATTTTGCCGTGGAGCCCCCAATATATCGAAGAAATCGATAATCCATCTCCAGTATCAATATTGAATCGAATTCAATGTCTACGAAGTTCTTTTCTAAACTTCACATCACTCCTACTTCTTCCTAAATGAACAATACTTCTACCTCAATGTTTTCAATATCGATATTTTCGGGTGCGATATATCGGCAGATGCCGATTCAACCCATCGATTTTTATAAATTCAAAAAATTCCTGCCCGCAGGAACTGGTTCTACAAGATCGCCTCCATCAGAGAACTAGTCCCAAGACTCTACGTAGAGATGGCCATAATCAAATCCTACAGTTTCCTGACAACGAGCGAATTCAACACAGCCCTATTGAGGATCACCAGAATGATAAGGGGAATTGGGAATCCCCTAATTGCCGTTTACGCTCGGTGCTACCTCTGCCGTGTGGGAATGGCCCTACACAGAGACTCGGACTTCGTGAAGGAGAATTTTTACGATTTTCTCCTGACATACCACCAACTCTTCAGCCACTCAACGAAGATGGAGCTCAACCGACAGAACATCTCGCTGTTTTCGTACTTGAACCTGTACACACCAGCTCTCGATTGGATCCTGCAGATGATGACCAGATCCGCCACCCCTGAGAGCTTCCTGGGAGAAGTTCTCTCGAAATGCAAGCAACAGGACAATGGGGCCTTGCTCCTGAACGCTATCCTAGGCGCCTCCAAGCCAGCCTACATCGCCTCCAGGTGCACAGAATTCGTCAAATTAATTTCCGACTGCAGTGACGACGGATACCCCCAGTACATCCTCTACAGATCCCTCGGCGAGTGCTTGATCCAGGAATCCCCCTCGAAGACAAATTGCCAAGAAGTCTACGATGTTGTCTTCAGGTACATCATCAACCTGGGTGATCCTGGAAAGTTCATGCACTGCACTGAGATCTGGATTCAGTTCGTGGTGCAGCACTTCACGACGAAGGAGATAAACGAGTACCTGGGGGAGATAATTTCGCACTTAAGTGGCAATCGAGAGTTCCAGCACTTCTACCCCCAGCTGCAGGGAATAATCGACAAGATTGTCTCCGGGTCGCAGGAGTTCGAGTCGTTGCTGACGATGGAGAATTTCCTTCCTCTCGTGGACCTCTTTCACAAGGAGTCCATCAAGGTGGAGGTCTGCAAGAGCATCATCGAGAGGTTCACGAGTCAGAGTAACCCCGGACCGATTACAGATCCCATTATAATCAACGCCCTGATGTTCATCGCCAGGATCATGCACGATTCGGTCTCTGCGTTGACGGTTGACGACGAGAAGAGACAGATCGGAAACTTGATATGTCTCCTGGTGCAGAGGGTGGACTATGGAAGGGACTTCGAGAAGCAGTTGAATTTTTACGCTGAAGCCAGAGCAGCCTTTCCTAATCTGGACTCGGTGCACGTGCAGCTGGTGCAGTGTGTGAACAGGCAGGCTGTCGAGACGAGGAGGATCGTCAGGGGCCACCACACGAGGAGGACTTCGGCCTTCGTGAGGGCCTGCGCAGCCTTTTGTTTCATCACGATTCCTTCCCTGAGCCAGGTCCAGATAAGACTGCAGTTGTATTTGCTGTCGGGGCAGGTGGCGCTGCTGAATCAGTGTCTGGGCCAGGCCGACGCCTGCTTCAAAGCTGCCCTGAGTCTTGTCCCTGAGATGGAGAAGACTCTGGATGTCGAGGGGAGGGCGAAGAACTCGGAGCCTTATCTCGTTTCGTACCTCTCGAATTTTCTGTCGACTCTGCTTGTCGTGCCTGATAGCCCTGAGCACGGGGTGCTGTACCTCATGAGGGGGTTGTTGAACGTCGTCCAGAGGTGCTTTGATGAGCACAGTGGAATGAAGTACCAGGTGTACTTGAGGGTCTTGGACCTGCTGTCCACAGTCACCAGGGAGAGCTATCCCTACCACGTCGACAAGGTGGATTCCAATGACAAATTGTACGGGAGTGATGAGAAGTTCATCAACGAGGTGAACAAGATCTGCACCAAGGTTTTGGAGGAGATCCTGGAACACCTGAAGTATCTGGGGGCAAATGACATGTTTGACAAACAGTCGAACTTTGCTCTTGAGGTGTTTGGGAGGCTCCTGATGAGGGCTGATCTCCGGCAGTCGGGGATGGCGAACATGGCGGTTAGCTTGTGGAATCTGTCGTTAAAGCATGGCTGTGTCGATTCCAAGTTGAGGATGAGGACTGTTGAGTATATGAAGAGGAAGAAGAGATGCCCGGAGTTTGAGCATTTCGGGGAGATCTTGAAGAGAATTAGTCATTAAGGGAGACTGAGTTTTCATGAGATTTTATTGTATTTGTATGGTTGTATATAGAGGATTCAATGGTGGGCGGAAGACGTCGGATGCTTGTCATGAATTACATTAATTAAGGGTAGCATGTGTTGAATTTTGATTCCGAGCATTCATAAGACAGTTATTTCATTTCTTTTTCAGCTCGAAATTCAAGGTCAATGAATTTAGGGAAATGCGAAAAATTCCAGCCTGAGTATATGAAGAGAAAGAATTAGTCATCATTGAGGAAAATTGAGTTTTCATGAGATTTTATTGCATTTCTATTGTTGTATATAGGGCGTTGACTGGTGCACGGAAGACGTCGGATGTTAATGCTTAATTAATCACATTCATTGAAGATATCACGTAGTGAGTGTTCATTCTAAGGTGAATCGTTCACTGGTGGAACTGTTGAATTCACCCCAGATTTTTCCTTCTGCAAAAATATACAAAAATAACGGGCGCAGCACGTGATCGTGGAAGACTTGATTATTGCAGTGTTGATTTCATCTTGTATTTTTTATTCCTTGAGGACTGAACGGAGAGCGTCCAAAAATATATCAGCGTGGTGTTGGTCGAACGTGAGAGCCGGGCGGAGTCGGACTGCTGTAGCACCACAACCACCTGCTTGGACTCCTGTTTAGGGGGGAGAGATACGAATTTAGTCGGGGTATTTTCGTTTTGTGTAATTTTGAGAAAATTGGAGGGTATTTTTGGCACCTTTCGAGAGGAGTTTCTTGACGATCTTGTCTCGGATTTCGGCCGTGGCCCCGTCGAAGGCGATGAAGGTGCCTCGACCTCTGGAGGAATTTATGAGGGTCGAGTGCTCCTTCTCGAGGGACTTCAACTGCTCCAGGGTATACTTCCCAACTTTTGAGACCTTTTCCAAGAGACGATCCTGTTCGATAACTTTTATAATTGCTTCCAGGAGGATGAGCTTGCTGGGGTCACCCATCCACGTGTTGAAGACTCTGTAGCCGATATTAGGTCTGGAATGCAACATTTTTCATTTGAAGATACAAAATTTTCAAACATCAATGATGAATTATGGGTTTTATCACTTTGAGACTGTATTCTGCGGATTATCATTTTGTCGAATATCGAATTGTCGAGGAGAAAATGTAAAATTTAAATCATTGCGGCGTGGTTTGAACCCTTAGGTTATCAGTCTGAGCCTTTGTGGACATGGATATTGACTCGGTATTCCTTGTCAATAAAAAAAATCAACCCTCCCCATCTTGAAAAGAAGTCAGTAGCGAAGCGATAGAACGTTTCAAGTCGATTTTGACTATCGACCGGTTTTCAATGAATATCTCGAGATTCAAGGGAGATGGCAAAATTTTTGTCATGACCTCTTTTTTAGCTGTCAATTCGCTCCCTAAAAAAGCTCAGTACGAAAATTTCGTTATCTCCCTTAGATTCGGAGATATATCTCGAAAACTCAGCTGAGGGCTAAAACGACTTGGACCACAAAAAATTCAACACCAGACCATCGAAAATCCAAGAGATCCTGAAAACACCCTCGAAGAAACACATCAGAGACATTACAAAATTTTTTGAGAAATGTGAACTACAGATTTAAAATTAACATAGTCAAAATAACAGCAACAATGTCTAGATAACTACAACCAAAATCACATAATCTGCGATAATTGGAGGCTGTTATCAGCTGTTTTCTTTTTTTGTCTTTTTCTTATCCATGTCAGCTGAATGAGCCCGAAAATGGGTTCCGAAGCTTTAATATAAAAAATAAAAAAATAAAAAAGGACTTGAACAATCACATCTATCATTTCGTTATTAAACTCTATCCCTTCGTTATTGAAACATCTATGCCAAATACAAAATAGTATTTTTCCGGCCTGTGGCGATGGGGTTTTTTACTTGTGTGGCTACACGAGTAAAAAAACCCCATCACAGCCCAGGAATAATATTTTTCTGTAGTGATTTTCAAGTTTTCGAGTTTGGGAAGTATGTAATACCAATTCCCAGACGAGAAATCGTGAGAAGCAGTACAGAAAAAGGTATTTCATTTCCTCGTCAATTCGAAAGGTAAGATGAATGAATTTGGGAAAATGCAAAAAATCGCCGGAGGTCAGATTTGAACCCGCGATCTTACGTTTCCAGTCTGAGCCTTTACACACATGGCTATTCACTTGGTATTCCTTTTCAAAACGAAAAAAATCAATCATCCCCATCTCGAAAAGAAGTTTCATCACATCTACCCTTTCGCCATTGAACTAATTACGCCAATCACTTTGTGGAATCTCAAATTGTTCAGGAGAAAGTGGAAAATTTCAATCATTACTCACTTGAATTCAGCAGAATGGAAATATCCTCCCAGCTGCATCTTCTTGCTGAAAGTGACGATATCAGGAGGAGAGTCGAGATTAAAATGTTCGTGGCACCACATTTTTCCAGTGGGACCACCACCAGTTTGTACTTCATCGATGAGTAACGCAGCTCCATGCTGGAATGCCCAATTTCCAATAGAAAATTAATTTCATCCCACGACGACTCATTCTGGGGTTAAAACCGTAGATTACCTTTTTGGTCAGCTGTCGAAGTCTCTGGAAGAAGGTAGGGGACCCATGGTTGTCTCCTCCCTCCGCCTGGATGGGCTCGATGATAACTCCAGCGACAGGGGTGTTCTTCTCCCTGTCAAACTTGACCATGAGCTCCTCGATCTCGGCTAGGCATCTCTCGTCCTCCGCCTTGTTCTCCCTCTGGTTCTCCTCCAGGGGGTACCTGTACTTCGGGAATGATGCTATGGGCCAGTCGAATGCCGGAATGTCGATTTTGTGAATGTATTTACTATGGGTTACTGAAAGAGAGCCCAGGGTTCTTCCATGAAAAGCTCCTAGAAATGTCAAAATTTGAATTGATGAAATATTTAGGGAGGAATTTTTGTTTCATACTCTTTACTAAATGTCTACATCAGTCATCCCTTCAATTTGAATGAAATTCAAATGGACCAGTGAATGAAAACAAAATTGAAATCAATCCCTCACAATTCAATGAGTGAATAGATAACTCATTTTTTGTATGAAATTTTTTCTTCTGGAAATAGTATATTGTGTTACAAGTGCGTGAAGAACCACTTTTTTGCACGCACGCGTAACATCCCATTTTTTGTAATGCCTGCCGAGTTCACTGTTCGGAACCGTAGTGGGGGTAAAGTGCTTGCTTTTGTGCACGGTGTGCGTAAAGTTCACACTGAGAAAAAAATTTATTCTTTCCAAGAAAATGTTATTGGTGATATCTTTTTCATACTCTTAGTAGAAGAAAATAGCCCTTTTGGAACGTATTTCTCCAGGCCAGTCATTTCCAGGTGCTCCGAAATCAGTTCCAAGCGTGAGAATTATGGTGATCTATAAGAATATTCTTCTGCATATGACCTCGAAGAAACTCCAATAATAATTATTAACATTTGGAATTATTCCAATTTTCTTTACCTGAGAAAATCGCCAATTTGTAAAATCCGGAAGATATCGGAGAACATTTTGTCAAGGTCATATGTAGCATAATAATCAGATGTTCAACATCACTGTAATTTTTGAGGATAGACTTGGACTCTCTGAAAATGACTGTCCTGGAAAAATTCGTTCTGAAAAAATATTTATGCCACTCATGCCTGAAACCGGCTGGATTACACACTTGACGCTTCGCGTCTCGTGTCTAATTCACTCGCCTTCGGCTCATGCTGTAAACCCCACACACGTTAAAGACGAAATTGCCCCACACGTGCTGAAATATACTATATCTTCTGATGAGAATATCAATCCTTGGCAGGAATAATTTTTTCTCTCAGTGCAAGGTCGTGCGTAAAGTGAATTTCGAGCAATCACGAAGCTGAAGCATGAAGCTTCGCTTTACACACGAGAATTCACTTTACGCACGACCTCTGAACTTTACGCACATTGTGCGTAAAACAACCACTTTACACACACTAAACGGTTTCGAAAAGTGAACTTTTGAGGCAGGTATTACAAAAAATAACATGTGGCGGATAGGGCGGAGTCGTTTTGACGGCAATTTTTTAGAGGTGTTCCCTTACTCGGTATTCCTTCCTAATGAAAAATCAATCATCGTCATCTCAACCAGAATTTCAATTACCCCCCCCCCCCCATTCATCCAACCCCCAACAATACCTTTGAACGACAGAATGGAATATCGCGGCGAGCCAGGACTCTGATTGATCATACAGCTTTCCATTTCCTCTTTAGTGAACGGCTGACTATGTCTCTTCTTGTTCGCATACCACAGGAAGATATTTTTAAATGCATTTTCATTTGAACACGAGCCGCACATCATCGTCGTGATGTGCGTAAGGCCCGGGGGCACTACCCCAGGCCTCAGTAGAATACTTTTCAGTTTCTTTGGCCAGTCCCCACCGGGGAAGACCCCCAGGGCGGGCCTGTTGACGATCGACCTCTGGTTGTGGGGATCGGAGAGGGCCTCCAGCATCGCCGGGTGGTTGTACCCCAGGGGCATTGAGGATATTTGCATGTAGACATCCAGCAATGTGTTACCATCCACATCGACTATGTAATTCCCTGATGATTTGTCGTAGTCAGCGAACAATTGAACCGTTGCGGCTTGCTGCAACGTGTGTTGACTTATTTAAATAAGGAAGTGGAAAAACAAGATGTGGAAATTGAGAGGTGGAGTGGCGCAACTGGAGATAATTCGATTTTTGTTGATTGAGTTTATGAAATATGACAGCAATGAGGACAATTTGTCCGTTGATCACTACCACACGTATGAAAAAATCGTATAGAAATTTTCTGTACGGATTGCGTATAGAAATTCTATAGGATTTCCGTATATGATATTCGGATATTTCTATACGAATTATTTCTATACATAAATTTTTACATAAATTTTTGTTTTCATACGAAAGATGTCTAAACGCTCCAGAGAAAAACAGAGAAATGTCGCAACTCCATACGAAATGTTTCTATACATGTGCCAGTGGGTCGTATAGGATCAAACCTATAGAAATCGTATAGAAATAATTTGTATAAAAATATCCGTATAGAAATATCTGAATATCATATACGAAAATCCTATAGAAATTTTATACTCAATCCGTATAGAAAATTTCTATATGATTTTTTCATACGTGCAAGATGCCCTCAAATTAAATTCTATCTCTGCGTTATTGAAATGCACGTATGAACAAAACCACGGCCAAGCCACCGATTTTCATGGTCATTTCATGGCTTTTGGAGGTCATTTGGTGGACATTTAAGACGTGTCCGTAGCGAAGGGGGGAGGGATAATATTAGACCCCCGATTTGATCCCTGAGAATTGGCCCTCATTTTGATCCTCAATAATAATTGGCCCTTAGTTTGACCCTTAGATTTGGACCCTTGGTTTGGCCCTTAAATTTTGACCCCGGTTTTGGCTCTTAGATTTTGACCCTTAAATTTTGACGCTTGTTTTGACCCTTACATTTTGACCATCACATTTTAATTCTTATCTTTTGACCCTTACATTTTGACTCAGATTTGTTCTCGTAAATTTTGACCCTTGTTTGGACCCTTAAATTTTGACACTTATATTTTGACCCTCATATTTTGATCCTTAGATTTGGACCCTATGGAGCGAACCAATAACTTCCGGACCGATTCCCATTGTTTCTCTTCTTCGAACATTTGGAGTGTTTTTACGTTTGTCCCTACAATTATTATAGAAAAAATCTGTGAAAAAATCACCGATTTTAGAAAAAATTACTGCCGGGATCAGGAAAGTCCAAATGAGGGTCAGAAATAGGGATTTAAAGTAAGGGTTACAATAAGACTCAGTCCTCGGGGTCAAAATATGCGTGTCAAAGTATAAGGGTCATAACGTAGAATGTCAGAAAACAGAGATCTAAATATAAAGGTCAAAATATGAGAGTCAAAATTTAAGGGTCACACTCTAAAGGTCATTATGTAAGGATTAAAATATAAGGAACAGAATGTAAGGGTCAAAATCGAAACTTCAAAATCTGAGGGTCAAAATGTGTAGGTCAAAATATAAAGGTCAACATATAAGAATCAAAATGTGTAGGTCAAAATCTAAACTTCAAAATCTGAGGGTAATAACGTAAAGGTCAAAATAGAAGGGTCAAAATTAAGCATCAAAATTTAACGGTCCAAAAGTAAGAGTCAAAATCTAAGGGTCAGAGTAAGGGTCAAAATATAAAGGTCAAACTGAGGGCCTATTATTATAGTTTACATAAAAACTCTGGTAAACATTAAAAAAATATTACTTATCCCCCTTAAATTTGATGTTTCATCATCAAAATTTCATAAGTCATGTTCAAGCTGAAAATAATAATAATCCCACCTGATATTTATTAAGTTCCTGCAACAACTCTCTCGATTGAGGTCCAGGTATCTCAGTCTTGACCTTCGGAGCCTTCGGCTCTGCAGCCGTCGTCAGGCATCTCGGATGGCTTTTACCTTGAACATTTCATAATGCAAAATGTCAATAAAATTGAGTGAAGAGACGTGCGTTTTCATAGCGATATCAGGCCACGTCTCCCTGCGTAAATCCCCACGAGCTCCATCGATTTAGTTTGATTAATATCACTTAAAGCTAAGTGGCCTTCTGCCACTGGATCCAATGAACTTGGATTATTTTTAACTGGATGGATGTGTTCATTATCAATTTCGTAATAGATAAGATAAGCGTAATTGTTTATCGAAGCTTTTCTGGCGTATCAGGAGAACGCACGTGTAAGTTCATTCCTCCTCAAAATGTTTGTTCAGTTTCTTCTTATTCATCCATTTTTTTCTCATCGTTAAAAAATAGTATGTCGTGTTACTAGGGCGTAAAGTTCCACTTTTTCACACGTACGTGTAACAAATCCCATTTTTTGTGGTACCTGCCGAGGTCATCTGTCGGAACGGTAGTGGGGGCAATGTGATTGTTTTTGTGCACGAGTGCGTAAAGTTCAAGAGCATGCGTAAACTGCGCACGCGGTGCGGAAAACAACCACTTTGCGCACACTAAACCGTTTCGAAAAGTGCACTTTTGAGGCCGGCATCACAAAAATGTTGGACTACAATTTTGGAAATGAATACTCTGGAATATTTTTAGGTAGAGTATTTCAGGAATTAAAGAAAGGGAAAAATTACTTGCCTTTTATTGACCATTGTTTTTGATGACAAGTTTCGGGAAGAATTTTTTAAAATAAGAATTGAAGTGGAAATTTTATGAAAAAAAAATTGAGAATTTTTTTTTCGGAGGACTATAGCCGGAATAGGAAAGAAGTATTGATAATATTTAAAAGGATGAAATAAGAATGTTTATCGAAGCCTTTCTGGGTTATCGAGAGAATGTGAGTTAATTTCTTCTGAAGAGATGTTTTCTTTGAATTTCGCCCTCAAAATTTCTTCTTATTCACCTGTTTTTTACTGTTAACAAAAATCTTCAACTATAATTTCGAAAATTAATGATCTAAAATATTTTTTATATCATATTTTCTATTATATTTTTTATATCTAAAATATTTATTGAGAATTTTTTTTTCGGAGGAGTATAGCCGGGATAGGAAAGAAGTATTGATAATAATGAAAAGGATGAAATAAGAATGTTTATCGAAGTTTTTCTGGGGTATCGAGAGAATGTGAGTTAATTTCTTCTGAAGAGATGTTTTCTTTGAATTTCGCCCTCAAAATTTCTTCTTATTCACCTGTTTTTTTACTGTTAACAAAAATCTTCAACTATAATTTCGGAAATTAATGATCTGAAATATTTTTCAATCCAATATTTCAGGAACGTAACACAAATAAAGAATTTCGGGAAGAAATTTTGGAAAACGTAAGTCAAGGGGAAATTTTTTGAAAAGAACATTTTGGAATAATTTTTTTTTTGAGGAATATAGCCCGGATAGGAATGAAGTATTGATAATTTTCCGTACCTTGGAATAATCCAGGGAGGATTGATCGACCTCGAGAGAGGCTGCAACCCTTCGTCAACATCCTCGGGGATGTGAAAGGCAGAGTGACAGCTTCAAGGAACTAGTTCAATATTTGTAATTAAATGCCAGCGATTTTTTAATGTTTACTCCTTGATTGACAGGCGCACGCACGGGCCTGGTGCAGAGCAGAAGTACGACTATTCGACTATTATGAGGTAGTGTCAAAACCGGTCTTGATACGGATACCAGTGCGCACACTCAAACCTAGTGCGAGGTCATTCATTCGAAATGATGATCCGGGGAAGAGGAGAATTGTAAGGAGTTTGGGGTGCAGTCGGATTTATGGAGGGAGGGGTGGAATGAGATAATTTCGAAGGGCTTTTAGGATGGGGAGAATATTTTTGTCAATAACTGCTAGATGATAAATTTTTTATGAAACCAATCTGGTGGTAATTTTGAATTTTCCAGCCACAGTAGGAAATTGAAGATCTTGAGATGAGAAAAATTGCCGGAGGTTGGGCTTGAACCTACGACCCTTGGGTTTCCAGTCTGACCACATACGGATATCCATTCGGATTCCTTCCCAATACAGAATCAATCATCGACATCTGAAACAGAATTTCAATTACAAATAATCTCCATCACCACCTGAAGCCATCAAAAACACCCAGGAACAATAATTTTAATCACTTAAACTCTTCATTTTTCTCCACTTCATGAATTATTGTTTTAAGAGAAAATATCAAAAAACCGTCTTTATGGATCACAAAATTCTCTCCTAAAGAGGTATGAAGAAATCTCTCTTGGTGAGGTTGGGGTAAAATGGACACTTTTGACTTTTTTAAAAATATTAGTGACGGGTTGAAATGTTGATGAAATTTAATCATTTTTTTTCAATACAAAGAACAATTCTTTCCCTTCGTGTTGAGCCTAAACTGAGCTCTATTGATACATTTCAGTAGCGAAGCGGTAAACCGGGTTAATTCGATTTTTACTATTGGCTAGTTTTTGACGAATATCTCGGAATCTAAAAGAGATAGAAAGATTTTTGTCATGACCTTTTTTGTAGAGCCAATAGAGCGTTATAAAAAAAGTCATGAGAAAAATTTTGCTATCTCTCTTAGATTCCGAGATATTCAGCAAAAACTAGTTAATAATCAAAATCGACTTAACTCGGTTTACCGCTTCACTACTGATTTGTTTCTGAGTTATGAATAATTTTAAAAAAGTCTAAAATGTCCATTTTACCCTACCCTCCCCTATATAATAAAATCGTAATTTCAGCTAATGCAAAAATTTTCAGGGTTCATGAGGGTCAGAATAAGGGCCGGAAACGTCAAATGCAATTCACATTCACCCATTTCCCTACCTCCGCGCAATTACCTCTCAATCGCGTAAGTCCCTTCAAAAGCACCAAAACATCCAAAAGATTTTCAACAAAAATTTTCCTCAACAATAAATTACAGAATCTAAACAACACAGAATTTAATGCACTCATGCAACCAAATAATCTCCATCACCACCTGAAGCCACCAAAACACCCACGAACATATTTTTAATCACTTAAACTCTTTATTCTTGCGTACCTCCTCAATTACATGATTTTTTTCCTCAAAATTTTGTATTTTTTTTCTTGACAAAATAAAAAGTTGTCGATACTCAAAACCCAACGAAAAACGATACTCCCCAGTGGCTAAGCGACTGGCCCTACCTCCTCCCTCAATTATCACCTATTTATTGTTAACCTTATCCTAATTATCCTTAAAAATTAATCCGTGATAAATTCAACTCGTCCACCTACTTGCAATGAAAGCTACAATTATTTCTTTATTATCATAATAAAAATAAGGAGCAGAAAATAGTGCTTACACACGTTAATATTACAATTTAAACGTTCAACTTGTGAAAAATAATGTTAATGAAATTAATTCTAAATGTAATGGTCACCGATATTCTCCATCATTAATTATCTCATCACCAGAATTACATCGAGCAATTTGAATTAAAAATACTGTACAATCATTCGCTTTTTGTTTACCCTGGCATAAAAATTTACATCTGTTTTTTTCTTTTCCCTCTCGTTAAGCAATTTAATGAAGAAATAATTATTAATAACGAAAAAAAAAAATTAACAAGTAATGCTCAATGAGCTGATTATTCAGTGGAGTTAATGAGAATCAGACCATCTTCGATTATCGAATTGTCATAAAAATGTCACATTTCAATGGATAAATCGGCATTTATCATTCATCTGCAATTATTTACAATGCTAATGGTGATTTTTCATCAATGCTTTTTGACACTCTGCTTCAATTATCTTACCCTAAACATCGTATGTATCGTTTTATAAACACTTTCATAGAAAATTTATAGTGATTAAAACAACTTAAGTCATTACTCGTTAAGCATAATAAACAAATTTGTACAATTTATTATGCGTATACCTAAATTCATCCCTCAGTAAACTATTAAAGTGTAAATTCTTCACA